AAAAGCCCTGGCCCTAGTTGTTACTAATCTGGCCTGGATGTGCTCCCGTATTGGGAATCCCATCACCAGCCTGGCTGCAGCGTTTTGCACCAGCTGCAGCTTCTGAGTTTGCGACAAGGGCAGCCCCATGTAGAGGGCATTACAGTAATCCAGTCTCGAGGTGACCATCGCATGGACTGTTGCCAAGTCATGTTCAAGGAAGGGAGCCAACTGCCTTATCAGCTGAAGGTGGTAAAAGACTGACTTGGCAGTGGCTGCAAGCTGGGCCTCTATTGTTAGTGAGGCATCCAGGAGCACCCCCAAGCTCCTAACCTCTGGCGCTGGCACCAGTGGCTCTCTATTGAAGGTCGGGAGTGGAGTCCCTACCCCTGGATTGCCGCAACTCAGGCACAGGACCTCCGTCTTCATCTGATTCAATTTCATCCGGCTCAGTCTAAGCCAACCAGCCATAGCCTGCAATGCCTGATCTTGGACTTCCGGTTTGGAGTCAGACTGGCCGTCCAACAACAGATAAAGCTGGGTGTCATCCGCATACTGATGACAACCCAAGCCATACCTCCAGGCAATCTGGGCAAGAGGGCGTATATAGATGTTAACATAAGAACATAAGAACATAAGAGATGCCAATGTTGGATCAGGCCAAAGGCCCATCCAGTCCAACACTCTGTATCACACAGTGGCCAGAAATACCAGTGCCATCAGGAGGTCCACCAGTGGGGCCAGGACATTAGAAGCCATCCCACTGCTGACCCCCCCCCCCCAAGCACCAAGATGACAAAGCATCACTTACCCCAGAATCCCTATCTATACCTTGTGGCTAATAGCCACTGATGGACCTCTGCTCCATATGCTTATCTAATTCCCTTTTGAAGCCGTCCATGCTTGTAGCCGCCGCCACCTCCTGTGGCAGTGAATTCCAAGTGTTAATCACTCTTTGGTTGAAGAAGTACTTCCTTTTATCCGTTCTAACCCGACCGCTCAGCAATTTCATGGAGTTAAAAAGCATTGGAGACAATACCACCCCTTGTGGCACTCCACATTCCAGTGGGTGCCTCCGGGACAGCTGATTCCCCAGTGCCACTCTTTGTCCCCAACCTTGGAGAAAGGAAGCAAGCCACTGTAAGGCTAGTCCCTGGATTCCAATGTTGGCGAGGCGGTAGATCAATAGCTGTTGGTTGACCGTGTTGTTAGCCAAACTGCTTTATGTACAGCTGATGGCAAACTAAATTTAACATGAGTTCTTGCCAAAGTTTATGGAGGTTCTGTCTACCCTACAGAGTCCCAGTGATGGAGACAAGACTGGTGAATTCCAAACAATTTGTCTTTACTGATGAGTATCGAAATCACATACACACGAAAACAGAATCATACACACATACACTCAAGTTCCTTTAGAGTTATAGAAGTACATAAAATAGTCCCATTTACTTAAGAGATAGGTAGGTTTACGGTTTAATACTTATCTTTCTTGAAGTCTTGTCTGTTGCAATGAAGAATGGAAGGGCAAGAAATTAAGACCTAGGGCATTTGCTAAATCACACAACTAGAACCAGCCAGCTAGTGTGGATCTCTTTGGCTGCAGTCCAAGAGATCAGAAATAGACAAAGGATTGTTTGATAGTAAGCTGGGCTTTAAGGGATGAAAGAAGACAGAGGATGATGAAAGGGAATGCGGCTAGCAAAGACCTAACGCATGGTCTTTGCTTTTTATAGTTGAATCTCCAGGTGGGTGGCAACCTTGCCAAGCTGGAGACCCACCTATCTACAAGTCCATCCCATAGTTACACTCATTGGTGCATGCAGAAAGGGGCAGGTACCTTAGGGGTGTGGACAATATTTGAAACTCTAAACTCTAACTCATGGAAAGCCATCTGATCAGGTGTGAAGTCCTGGCATCCTGGACCTTCCTTGATATGCAGATAGATCTTGGCTTTCCCAGGCAATCAAGGCACCTTCCAACAGGAAATGGCAATTCAGATGCAGATAGATCCATATACTGCGTGACATCGAGTCCTTCAGCATTGGTGGGGTTACTTCTCCTTAGTTGTCATTTCTGCTAACAATGGCTAAAATGTGCTTCTCTTTCCCATAAAACTCTGAGCTGAATGTGTGTGCAGACCTCATTAACATAAAATGCAGGCAAGTGTCCTCTATGTGAAATCTCTCACAATAGGTAATGCAAGCAGCTTTCCCCATGCCTACGGGTATACATGTGTGTGCACAGTTCATATAGTGTGTGTGTCAGCAGATATAGATTCACAAACAGAAAATATCAGTCTCTTTCTCAACAGTGTCAAACGCGGCCGACAGATCTAACAACAATAGCACTGCCGATCCGCCCTGGAGGTCATCTGTGAGGGTGACCAGTGCCGTCTCTGTCCCGTGCCCAGGGCAAAAGCTGGACTGGAAGGGATCTAGGATAGAAGCGTCACCCAGAAAGCTGTGTAACTGCAAACACCAGGACTGTTTGTAAGGGTTATGCTGTACATACAGGGGTACTGTTCCTTGAACCTAGAGGAAAATGCACTGGCATGCACTGAGAAGAAAGGCCCCAACACTGGGGATCACACCATAGTTCAGGGTTACCAGAACTGTGTACACCAGCATCAGTCACATGATCAGTCACAAGACCTGCTTAAGCCAAGTACTTTATTTAGAAACTAACAGACAATATGTTAGCTACATGGCTGGAGGGAAGAGAGATTTATACAATGTTGAGATATTGTACTGACTTTATGTGCTTTCACATGGACTGAATTAGTCACTTTCAAAGCAATTCCAGTGCACTAACCAGTTTGGTGTAGCGGTTAGATGCATGGATTCTAATGTGGGAGAACCAGGTTTGATTCCCCACTCCTCCATTTGCAGCTGCTGGATGACCTTGGGCAAGCCATAGTTCTGTCAGAGCTGTTCTCTCAAGGACAGTTCCCGAAAGATCTCTCTCAGCCCCACCTACCTCACAGGGTGTCTGTTGTGGGGAGGGAAAGGAGCTTGTAAGCGGCTCTGAGACTCTGAGTGAAGGGCGGAGTAAAAATCCAATCCCCTCCTCTTCCTCCTCCTCTTAGCTATAACATATTTTAGGCCTTAGGCCTACTCTATACTGGCCATATTCATGACAAGAAGAAAGTAAATTTCTTTGAAATGTGGTGTAGGAGGAGAGTTTTATGGATACTGCAGACTGCCAGAAAGACAAATTAGTGGGTTCTCAAATCTGAGCTCTCCCTAGAAGCTAAAATGACTACACTGAGGCTATTGTACTTTGGTCTAGGGTTGACAGTCCCGTGACAGAGGTGGGGGTTTACCCATTTTCGGGGGGGCCAACCTGCCACTGCCCACCCACCAGTGGGGAGCCCTGCTCCAAAGAACTCCATTTGTGCCATCGTGCGCAGCACAATGACATCACCCAGAGTCACACTCTGAACATGCTGCAACTTTACTCCACTGTTCCTCATTCTAGGCAATGTTGATCGCACATCCCCCGGTAACTGGCTGAAGCACGCGAATACCCTGTTGACGACCATCCACACTTGGCCACCTTTGTCTTCCAGTTGGCAGGGACTCTCAAGAAGGGCACACATAGATGCTTATGCGCACCTCACTCACTTTGCAGCAAAAAAAAGGCAGCCATGAACCAGAAGCCCAAGGTTTCCCAAATGGCTTGGCCGCACAAGGCAGCAATCACACGTCCGGGACTGCAGAATGCTCCTGTCAACATCGAACTTTCCCTGGTGTCTGTTTAATCCATTTGGGAGATGGATGAGAATGGGAGCTCGACAACTGGGGAACCGCATGGGACGCGGATGAACTGCCTGTCTGACTGCAGCCGAAATGACATCTGAATGTCTGGGAACAAGACTTTGAAACATCAGTTTATAACATTTTATCAGAAGCCAAATTTAGCAAGGTGCTGACAACTTGTTTTGTACATGGGCGTTCATCCACACATGCTCCAGATTTTAAACAAAGGAAACTGAACTGAGCATGCCTGGTCAATGTCATAAGGGGAGGATTGTCAAAGGTTATAAAAAGACATGTATAGTGGCTCAGATGAACTCTTCGGCTTAACATGGAGCTGAGGGTGTTCCCTTTATTCAATAAAGTTCCTTTCTCCTTTCGCTACCTGCATCCCAGCCTTTGATGTGATTCATTGGCACAAGCCACACTAGGCAAAGAGCCCCTTCCTTGGGCTTTGCTTACACCAGGAATATAGGGAAATGGCTGCTAATCTTGACTTAAAAGATCACAGAATATGCTTCTGCAGGCCAGAAACAGGACTAGCTTGTCTCTCAGCTAAACATGCTGTAATGTATTCAGCCTGACATGCCCGGACTTGCCCGGGCTGGCCAGGCACATTTCCTCAATAGCTTCAAGTCTAAAGACAATGGGTCCGAAGGATCCTAGACGGCCCAATGAAAGGGCTAGGTCCCCAAGCCGGGAGGCCAATGGGTCTCTCGGTTACTGTAAATAGCCTATCGGGAGTGGGGTGTGTGTTGAGGTGAGCTTGGTGGCAGGTTTTCTGAATGAATATAAACCGACCTGCAAGCCGGTCAGTTGTCTTTGTTCTGTACTAAATAAAGGTATGCTGAGCTGTAATCACTCTCCGTCTGCATACTTTTCACATGCCAAATAAGAAGTCCAGAAACTAAGAACAGCCCAGCCTTGGAGCGGGACAAGGAACAAAGAAGAATATCAATAGATATAGATTCAGGTGGGTATAGCTGTGTTAGTCTGAAGCAATAGAACAAAGTTTGAGTCCAGTGGCACCTTTAAGACCAACAGGGTTTTGTGTGCATGCACACTTCTTCAGGTATCTGCACACATCTTCAGATATGCTAAAAAGTGTGCATGCACATGTCTGAACTCCTTCTCTAAACAGCTCTAATCAAATGGAGAAAGCAAAAGACAGAATGAACAGGCTTCGGCCAGAGTTAGCACGATGTTAGTTCACATTACAATGAATGAACATCAAAGGGATAGGAACAAAATAGATACATTTATGGCTTATGATCCATTGTTGCGGGGAATAGCACAGATTTTATAAGGACAGGGAGGGGTAGTCAATCGTACTATGGGTTCTTCACTGATTCTTTTCACCCCTTCTGGTGCCTGCAAGGTGAATGCCCTCAGCATCCTGGTGAAGATGATGAAGATTTCGATACTTGCCAGCTGCTCCCCCACACACACACGGGCCCCTTCGAAGGGAATACAGAAAAGCAGCAAATGAGTTGTATCTACTGTCTGTACTCTCCACCACCTATTTCCCTGACCAACAGCCAGTTGAGACTTGGAGAAGGGCATGGGGGGCTTATAAACGGAATCCTGTTTCCTCTTCTCCGAGTGGCCCAGCAGCAATTTCCATTAGTACAGAGGTGTCGAACTCATTCGTTATGAGGGCCGGATCTGGCACAAATGTCACTTTGTTGGGCCAGGCCATGTGTGCCGTAAAACATAGTGCCAGGTACCGGAGACAGAAACTGTATAAAGGACGGCAGCCGGTAAGGTCTGAGTTGGTGTGTCCTCACTGTAAGGCCTCATGGGCTCAGAGGGGGGTGCAAAAAAAAACCCCCGTATGGGCGGGCTAGAGAGCCACTGGTGCAGCATTGGGCAGACTGCAGCAGATGAGGTTGTTCCGCCATGCTGAAGCCACAATTGGAGTGGCTCCGCCCACTCCCCCCCAGCAGTCTCCTGTTCTCTCCCTTGCACCAGTTGCCCCTGGGTCTTATGTCTGACACCCCTGCATTAGTACAACTAACTGCTCTTTCTATAACTCAGGGTGGCCAGTTCTAAGTTGGGAAATACCTAAATATTTGGGGGGAAGGCTGAGGAGTGGGGAGGCACTTCCAGCTATATATCTAATAGCCAAGACGCCTCCTGAGTGCGGATACCTAAATCCGCACATTGGGGGCACATGGGGGGGCAGAGAGATTTTCTTGCACACTTGAGGCAGTCCCCAGGTGTGCAGAAAAATCTGAAAAGTTTTTAAAAAACTATATGGGGGATATTTAAATCCCCCCAAAAGTAAAAGAGCGTTCCCTGCGCATGCACAGAGAATGCCCTGGCAACTGTCTCGCTGTGGCTGCCACGGGGGGGGGGAGAGAAGGCTTGATGGGCCGGTGGCTGTGAGCCGCTCAGGCCTTGCTACTGCAGAGGGGGATGGGAGAAAGCTTGGTAGGCCGGTGGCTGTGAGCCGCTCAGGCCTCACTGCCACTGGGGGGGAGGGAGTGGGGAGTGGGAGAAGGGTTGGAGGGTCTGGGGGAGAAGGGTTGGTGGGCCCAGCAGCTGGGAGCCGTGTGGGCCTCGCCATCAGTGCGGGGGGTTGGGGGAGAATTGGTGGGCCCAGGCCTCGCCGTCAGTGCAAGGGGGAAGGGGAGGATTGGTGGGCCTGGCAGCTGGGAGCCACACGGGCCTCGCCATCAGCGCTGGGGGGTTAGGGCGAGCCTGGGCCTCATTGTCGGTGTGGAGGTGGGGGAGAAGTATTGATGGGCCTGAGCCTCACCGTCGGTGCCGGGGGCGGGGGAGAAGGGGAGAAGGCTCATCTGTGGCTGCTTCCTCCTCCTCCTCCTCCACGTGGAGCTCCTTCTCCTCCCCCCACGAGTATCGCAGGTCCCCGCTTCTTGTGGTGTATAATACCATAGAGTCCACCTTCCGAAGTGGCCATTTTCTCCAGGTGAACTGATCTCTGTCGCCTGGGGATTAGGTGCAATCCCAGGAGATCACCAGCCACCACGTGGAGGTTGGCAGCCCTACCATAACCCCTTTTGATTGCCGGATTGGCACCTTGCTAGGCACTGATTTCGGTCAGGGTCCCCCATTAACTGATGATTACAGCCCCATGTTGGGTATCTTGAGACTTGACAGCTTCATGAGATTGAGACTATAATGTGCATAGACCATTTCTCTCTATACATCTGACCATTTGTTCAGTAGCTCCACAATGATGTAATTTAGTATTTTAGGAAAAGTAGATCTGGGCTGCGGTGGCTCAACTGGTTAAGATGCTGAACTGCAGGCAGTGGAAGGAAGGAATAGTTCAGCAGTTCGAGACCCGAGTGTGCCGCATGACGGAGTGCGCTCCCATCTCTAGTTCCAGCTCCTGCCAACCTAGCAGTTCGAAAGCAAGAAATTGCAAGTAGATAAATAGGTACCACTTCCGTGGGAAGGGAACAGCGTTCCGTGCGCCTTGGTGTTTAGTCATGCCGGCCACATGGCCACGGAAACATCTTCAGACAGCGCTGGCTCTTCGGCTTTGAAACGGAGATGAGCACTGCAACTCTAGAGTTGGATTCGACTGGCTTTCGAGCAAGGGAACCTTTACCTTTACCTTTACTAGATCTGGGCTTAGAATGGAGATGACTGAACGGTGAAGTCCACCCCAGCTTCATTGCCCGTGCAACGTCAATCGGTGCTAACTAGCTTAACAGCGACCCTCACACGTGAACAATAACATGAAATGCATAGTCTGGCGATACTGCAGATAACAAAAATCATTAAATAAGTAATGAAGAAAGATTGGCAAATGAAGAGATGATGCCGGAGCATTATTGTCTGGGTTCTTTTGCAAAACTGCTAGGGGAAGATTCCCACCTGTTACTTAGCTAGAGAACTGGGTTTTATTGATGGATTGATTTTGCTTCTACGCCTGCTGCTGTGTCCTAAGAGGCAGGGAGTGTACTGTTATCAAGCCATGCAAAGGAAAAAAAGCAGAGCATTCAGCTCAACAGTAGGGAAGGCATGGGGCCGGTCTGATCTCTAGCACCGGAGAGAGCCCAGTTCAGTGAAACCCTGGTGATGCCATCTTGCTTCAGCACAGAGCTACATGGAAGGAGCCATCACTCCATGGTAAAGCAGAGGCTTTCCATGGAGAAGGCCATGCATTCTGCAGATGGTATCTCCAGTCCTGGGATCTGAGGTCAAACAGCTGAGGAAGATTTCTGCCCAAACACTGCTGAGTTTCCAACAAGATTGTGGTGGAAAGGGCTGGCAAGTGAAAGCCAACTTATGGTGACCCCATAAAGGCAGGGGTCATTTCCTGCGGGAGCGCACAGGAGTGGAGCTCCGGCAGTAAGGAGCCCAGGGGGCAGGCACATGCAACAAGCCCCGCCCCCTGCTCCCTGCAGTTCTCAGTCGGGCCGCAAGGAGCAAGAAGCAGCCAGGTAAGTTGCAGAGCCCCCCCGGCCCACCTTCAGGTACAAGCTCTCCCTCCTCTGTGAATGCAGATCTGCGTGTCCTCTCCCCCATACCTAGCAATCCAAAACAGTCCAGTGGCACCTTTAAGACCAAGTTTTATTCAAGTACAAGCTCTCCCTCCTCTGTGAGGACAGATCTGCGCATCCCCCCCCCAGTAGCTAGCAATCCAAAACAGTCCAGTGGAGCCTGAGCGGTGGGTGTTGCCTTCTGACACACTTCTTCCGGTGATGTCAGGGGGTGTGGCATATGCAAATAAGTTATGCTAATGAGTCATGCTAATAAGCTCCTGCACCTCTTTTTCTACGAAACGACCCCTGCGTAAAGGTATTCAAGGCAAGAGACAGACAGAGGTGGTTTTGCCATTGCTTGTCTCTGCAAAGCAACCCTGGACTTCCTCTGTGGTGTCCCATCCACATACTAACCAGGGCTGACCCTGCTTAGCCTCTGAGATCTGATGAGATCGGACTAGCCAGGGCCATCTAGGTAAGGGCAGGTGGTGGTCAGAGCCAACTTAAGGCAATCCCATAGGGGTTTTCAAGGCCAGAGACATTCAGAGGTGGTTTGCCATTGCCTGCCTCTGCCTCGCAACCCTGGGCTTCCTTGGTGGTCTCCCAGCCAGGTCCTAACTAGGGCTTAGCTTCTGAAATCCGAAGAGATCGGGCTAGACAGGGCCATCGAGGTTCAGAGCTCCATCAAAACCAGCTTTACTAATACACTTGGCCTGACTCTGTATAATACCTCTGTGATGTTACATAAAATGTATTATTTCGTATACTTCATTTCTACGCATGCCCCCTTCTCCCCAATGGGGACCTAAAGCAGCTTAGAGTGTTCTCCTCTCCTACATTTCATCCTCACAACAGCCCTATGAGGATGGGTAGGCTAAAAGTAGGTGAATGGCCCAAAGTCACGTAGAAAGCTTTCAGGGGAGAGTGGGGGTTCAAACCTAGGCATCCCAGATCTTACTCTGACACTCTAGCCACTACGATTCACTGGCAAAAGACAGACAGACAGAAAAACGGAAGGAAGGAAAGAAGGAAGGAAGGAAGGAAGGAAGGAAGGAAGGAAGGAAGGAAGGAAGGAAGGGAGGGAGGGAGGGAGGGAGG